AGGAGGGGGCGGGGGGGGGCGGGGGGGGCGACAGCGACCGGGGGGGACGGGCCGCGGTACGGCCCGGGGAGAGGAGAGGTGCAGGGAGGAGAGAGAAGGGAGAGGAGAGAGAGAAGGGAGATGAAGAAGAAGGGAGAGGAGACGGGAAGGGAGAGGAGACGGGAAGGGACAGGAGACGGGAAGGGACAGGAGAAAGAAGGGAGAGGAGAAAGAAGGGAGAGGAGAAAGAAGGGAGAGGAGAAGGGAAGGGAGAGGAGAAGGGAAGGGAGAGGAGAAGGGAAGGGAGAGGAGAAGGGAAGGGAGAGGAGAAGGGAAGGGAGAGGAGAAGGGAAGGGAGAGGAGAAGGGAAGGGAGAGGAGAAGGGAAGGGAGAGGAGAAGGGAAGGGAGAGGAGAAGGGAAGGGAGAGGAGAAGGGAAGGGAGAGGAGAAGGGAAGGGAGAGGAAGAAGAAGGGAGAGGAAGAAGAAGGGAGAGGAGAAGGGAAGGGAGAGGGAAGAAGAAGGGAGAGGGAGGAAGGAGGAGAGCGGCTCTCACCCCGCAGAGAAGCCGGGGCTGAGCGCATCCCCGCATCGCATCGCGCCGGCCGCGCTCCCTCACCTGAATGCAGGCTGTTTTCTTTGGCAGTATTGCTGTTATTTAGGTAATCTTCTTTGCAGACAAACTTGTTTTCGTCTATGATGTAGAGCTCCTCGCCGGTGGAGAGTTGCTTGTTACACATCATACACGTAAAACAGTTCAAGTGGAACACTTTGCTCCGCGCCCTGCGGACCAGGTCGCTGGGGGAGATGCCCTGGGCACAGCCCGCGCACTTGGTCCCGAAACACCTGCGGAGATGACAAGATTACTCCTAATTACCCTCACACTGAGACTCTCCAATCTAACCTCGTCTTTAATGGTCCTTTAACCCCCCATTACCCCCAGCGCTGCGGGTTTATAAACCTTTTAATAATTCCAGCGCATTGTCATCCTTATTTATCCATTAACCCCTCACATTTATGGTTATTAATTTCGAGACCATTTACAGCTTCTTTAGGACTTTCTAAAACCAGCCCGCAGCTCTGCCCCTGCCCACCGGCCGGGGCTGGGGGGGGGCGGGGGGTGCTGGCCCCCCACCATCACGATTTCCAAGGACGGCGGGGCTTTCCGCGGCGCCCGCCGCGCGCGGCGCCGCGCCGCCCCCGCGCCCGCCCGCCCCCCCGCGGGGGGGGGGGGGGGGGGGCGGAGTCGCTAGCTGTTTGGCTTTGATGGTGGGGCGGGGTCCCCGCCGCTTGGCCCCCAGGTTCTGGTCGTCGTTTTCGTTGCTGCCCGTCTCCGGAGACGTTGGCGCTTTCCGAGTCCTTGGCGTCGTCCTGGGAGGGGTCTTGGGAGTCGGGGGACAGGCTGGGGTCACTGCACTGGGTGGCTGGGCGAGAGCAAAGCGGGTCACGCTGAGCCTGGGGGCGGCCGGGGGGGCGACAGCGACCGGGGGGGGCGGGCCGCGGTA